GAGCTGCCCGGAGCTACACATCTGGGAAATGATAATGCTTAGATTTGAATTGTGTTCTCTCTGGCTCCAGAGTTCATATTCTTCCGTCTGCTATCACACTGCCTCTTCAGCTAGAGACTAGGATATCTGGAACTGTGGTTTTGTCCTTGAATAAAACCTTCTAGAATATTTCAGGATGGCAACTAAGGAAGAGTTCACTCTGACCAGCTCCGTTGAGCACTTGATGATGGGGTGCCTGGGGGTGGTACAGAGGTTGCTTCCCAGCCTCATTGGCACTGCGATGCAGCAAACGCATCCAAAAATATGTTAGAAAAGAGAAAGGCCTTTATAATGAGCCTGGGCCTGCCTTTGTCTTGTGAGGTTTTAACTACTGTAATTGCCTGTAGTGTGAAGTAGTGTATTTTCCATGTATCTATTTTTATTCTGTGTCTATCTGCGTATCTGCTTTTTTGTTTTGTTTTGTTTTTTTGTTAACTCACTTGAATCCTGGTGGGTATTTTTCCTGTGAAAAGCATTGCCTCAGGAAAGCACGTACTCCCATACATGCACATGCACACACACAAATAATATGAAGGCTAAATGGGATAGAATTTATTCTTTAAAAGAAAAGCTAGTGATAAAGTCTGAGCAGATGACTTTCCAATCCATACTGTATTTAATTGGTTGTATTGAACCATACTACAAATTAAGTCTCCTCTGTAATTTATTCTGTCAGATGGTAACCCTCCAAACAATTTGATACTTCATTTAAACATTGGTAAATGGCTCATGGAGATGCTAAGGGGGGTGGGGGGATTAATGATGATCAGATAAGAAAGTCTCCATTCACAGAATGAATCCTATGCAAAATATCATGAGTTGACCTGATTCCATCAGTCACTGAGCATTTATTGAGCAACTACCTTTTGCAGCACCTGCCTTCAGATGGTTTGGTTCTTCTTTCCTTCCTGAACTCATTATTTAGCACTCACTCTTCAAAAAGGAACAGAATTAGGAGCTGGGATGAGACTGAGAGTAATCAGACATGGATCTTTTTCTCTCAAGAAGCTAACATCGCCGAAGTAGAGAGAAAACAGGTACACAGATATGATCCCTTGATTTTCTAGGGACTGCCCATTAACCTTCAAGATTCAGTTCAAGGCCAGCTCCTTTGTCAAGTCTTCCCTGAAGCCCTTTCCCATCCCTTCTCTGAGCCAATGTAACACCCCATACACACCTTTAATATAAGCTTGTCTTATTATATTGTGGTTGTGGGTTTCTTTGCCTGCCTGTTCTTACAGGATCACAAGGTCTTCGAGGAAAGGACTATGTTATAATATCTGGGTGGATTAGCAGTAAGCAGAAGACTGGGCACCTAGCAGCTACTCAGTAGGTACATATGGAATAAACAACTGGGTGAACAGGTAAATGTGAAACAAAACAAAGACGTGTGAAGCATACTAAATAGAAGAACAAATGCAGTGCAGTGAGATCTGGGGACAGGAATTATCATGGGGAGTCAGGGAAGGTTCCTTAGATGAGCACCCTGTTGGAGCTAACCCTGAAGCATACGTATAATTTAGTTACGTGGAGTTCCAAAAGCGTGGGTGAGGGGATGAAGAGGGCGGTCAGCAGAGATAGCATTGTGAACAGTGGCAGACAGGTGGGGAAACACAGAACACAGAGGGGCAGTGATGGGCCCTTCAGACTCTGTGCAGCCTGAGTCACCCGGAGTTCAGTGATGGGAGGAAGGTCAAACCCAGTTGAGGAGGCTAACGTGCAGTCTGTCTCCAGAATTTTTCAGTGTGACAACCTTCCGTGCACAATAGAACGAGGAGGGTTCAGGATGGGAGAAACGGACAAAGCCGTGGCAGAGAAAGAGGGTGTTGTTGAAGACTCTTTCTAAAACCAAATACCTGCTTTGATTTTTGGCAGGACTTGAATATCCAGACTGTTTTTCTGAGACAACAACAACAACTGTTTTCCAAAGGAAACATGAAAGAAGGATGGCCAGGGTTTGCCTTTCTCCCCCCTCCCCTCTTCTAGCCCAGTATTGTCTCCTGCCTCCAGAACGACTGGTGCTGCCCCAGGAGCTCCCCTCAGAAACTCTCCTGGGATGGAGTGGTCTTCATTTCCCATGACCAGGGTCCTCCCCACACTTTTCCAGCCTGACTGCTCAGCAGACACCACAGAGAGCCACAGGCTCCTGAGCGCTCACTCCCAGAGCGTGCCGTCTTGACCTTTTTCTTTGAGATCCTTAGAGCAAATTGGCCTTTACCCCAGACCTTCTGATTTATGACCCTGTCTGACCTCCGACACCTGCCAGAAGCCAGAACAGCTTCAGCTCTGCCTCTGAGCAGGCTCTCCCTCTCCTAATCCCAGTCTGTCAGGGACCATGGCTTTGTTGTTGGACTGAGGAGGTAGGAGTCAAAGGGTTAGAAACCCCGATCCTATATAATCTTGCTTTCTTTTTTTCAGTGCTTTGTCATCCTTCCTAGGGAGAGCGAGGGCTACATTTAGGACTGGTCCCGCCAGAACTCTCTCTGACCCTTCATCCTTTCATAAATTCAGTTGAACAATATGATGCTTAAGGTTCCTCTGGCCTTGATGATGCTGATAGAATCTACTTGAAGACATGGAGCAATTTTGAGCCTCAGTGAACAAGTATTTGCCAGATTCTCCGAGTTGCCAAGATGAATGCAGTCATATGACCATGGGGGTTATCAGGATCCTGATATATTTTATTTCCACGTATCTGTATTATGTCTGCACAGTTGAGGTTGGAGGAAGCGGAGACCTATCCCCCTTAATGATTCTTCATTTCCAAATAAATGAGCCACTTTCACAGCAATCCTTTTTAACATCATAAAATTAACTACAGGAAAAGATAATGTTACAGATATCTTTAGGCACTTCAGGCACGCACAGAGCTACACTTGGTGAGGCAATATTAGGTATCATCAGGCGTTAAAAATGTTTTGATTTTAAAACACTTAATGAGGATTCCCACATGAATTAAAGCATCTCCATCTGCTGTCTTGCATAGTAGGTGATATTTTACCCTTGCACAATCATCTCCAAATCTCATTCCACCAGGAAGACTTCTAATCACAGTTTAATTTTAGAGCAATATTCCACTTGGCAATCAATAGGTTACTGTCGTCAAACTTTGAATTATTAGGCGACGCAGATAACATTGTCCATTATGCAGGGAGAGAAATACTTTCTGGAAAGGGGAGAGAAGGAGGATGTCTTTGTCTCCCACTTTCCCCTGCTGCATACCATTCTAGTTCACAAAAGCCTATAAATCAATGCCCCTGTGTTGGGTGAATATAAATCTCATCAGTTTTACATCATTAACACCATGAAAAAGCTGCCACTCTTTGAGCACTTTTCTTCCACCAGCTAAGTATGTCCTCTTAATGAAACAAGGATAAATGAATTCTGAGTCTTTTGCTAACAAACATTTCCTTCCTCACCAACTTTATTTGGGTCAGAATTCATGAGTATCATGCAGTTGTCTTATGGCTGACTAGGGGCGAGTGTGACCAGACAGTGACACCACCCTCCAAGTATGATGTCCAGTGGACAGTGAGCAAATTAGCAGGGCATGAACCTGAAGGGAGGGTCCCAAGAGTAGTCAGAGAAGTTAGTGAGTGATCAGAGTCTAGAAGGTTAAGGTACAGCAGCCAATTCTACGGCAGAACTGATTCATAAGGTTAGAAGCCTAGAAAGACAGCAACAGTCTGGTAATGGGCATTTTGGAAGGCCAGGGCCAGGGGTCTAGAGCTAAGGTGCTGGCCATAGTGAGAGCCACATGCCCACTGACCTGAAAGGCTGGCTGTGTGGTTCAAGTTCCCAATGACTGGGCTCTGGGCTGATAGAACAAGACCTTCTAGAACATCTATTCCAGTGATTCCCACCACTTTCATAACTAAGTCCCCTTTATGTCACATGTCTCCCTCCCTCCACAGACTCCATAGTGGGGAAGAATTATATCCACCCCCCAAAAATGTATTTATAATACATAAAAAATATATTTATAATTTATATGAGCTATGTGTGAGGACTCAGGAATTTGGGGATCAGTAGAAACTGAAGTTCTATGGAATTATTTCTGCAGGGGGAGGGAAAGCAAGCCTTGTTCAAGGGAGGTTTCACAGAGATGGTGCTACTCGAATGTCCTTTTTTAAAAGATTTTATTTATTTATTAGAGAGAGAGCACGAGTAGGGGGGTGCAGAGGGAGAGAGACAAGCAGACTCCCTGCTTAGCAGGGAGCTCAGTGCAGTGCTCCATCTCAGGACCCTCTGATCATGACCCGAGCCAAAGGCAGATGCTTAACCGACTGAGCCACCCAGGTGCCCTTCAAATGTCCTTTTAGAAGAGAATAGGATTCGGGCAAATGGATAAAAGAATGGGCATTGCAAACAGAGCAGCAAGCCCATAAGAAGCCTCAGAACTAAGGGAGCCCAGCTACCTCTAGCCCAAATGGTGACTTTGGTAAGATAGAAAAAGGTGTTCATTCCTCAAGGCACTCTTGTCACCATCTGTCAAAAAAAGGACGGTAACCCTACAAGTGTACAGTTCGTGAATATGAACGGGGCCTCCTGTATTTGCACAGCGTACTCTTCCACCATGGCAAGCAGAGTCCCTGGGGACGTAAGTGTCTTAAATATCAAGCCCAAACTTCGGCCGGGCTGTGTCCTGAAGAGAGCTGCAGCTGAAGCCTGCACCGCTGAGTTACTCTGACTGGCCCTGGCAAGCTGAAGGAAGGCACCGCCGCAGACGCTCGTTCAACATATGAGCAGTCCTGTTTATCTCTCTGGTCACAGCACTAAGACCATGGAGGGAAGCCTCCATCTCTCAAGGGCAGGCGCGGCTCGTTTTCCTTCCATCTGGACCCAACAGCTTTCCCAGAGCCCTTCGGGCCTGTTCACACGTAGCTGAAACACAACTCTTATTGATCAACAGCTCGAAGGGAAAGTCTCGTGAAATATGCTCTTCCTTTTGTCTCCAATAGGCCCTTCAGCATCATCATGCTGTTCACGAAATTTCCTACATTGCAAAGGACATCACAGATCACCGGGCCTTTGGATACGTTTGTGGGAAGGAAGGGAATCACAGATTTGTTGCCATAAAAACAGCCCAGGCGGTGAGTATCCCCATCCAAGGAGGGCGCCTTTCCTTGTAGCTTTAGGGGACAGTGCGTACGGTCACGCTGCTGGTCTTTGAAGACCGCCTCTGATGTCAGATGAAGCCATGCTGATGCTCAGGCTCCCATCTCCAGAGCACAAATAGCCTTGGAGCAAGGAAACGGGCTCAGGCCCATCCAGTCTTGTTGGTTTTTTTCTAATGCGTGTTTCGTAATGACTAATTATTTTCCTTTCTGATTAAGCTGGATGGAGGCACACTATACAAATAAGTTTCCTTGTGCTCATAGCCTCATTTAAAAAGAAAATAAGGGAAAACAAATAGCTGTTTTGCATCAGGCCTACCCTAATTTTATTGTATTCGAAATTACTAATAAATAAAAGCAATGCCTTTTATGCTTATGATTATTATGAATTTGCAAATATAATTAGTTGAAGAAATGAACTTTAGCCTAGATGCAATTTGCTAAACCAATATAAACAAGGTAGAATTAATTAAAGATGGAATGCTTTCAGTTTAATAGGAAAAGGAAGGGCTGTGGGTTGTAGCAGGCAAAAAACAGAAACAGGCCGCTGGGTCTCCGTACCATTCCCTGACTAATGCGCTTTATACCACCTTTTACTGCAGGCTGAACCTGTTATTCTGGACTTGAGAGATCTCTTTCAACTCATTTATGAATTGAAGCAAAGAGAAGAATTGGAAAAAAAGGCACAAAAGGATAAGCAGTGTGAACAAGCTGTGTATCAGGTATACCTGTGAATTTATTCGAGTGCCAGAGAAGATTGGGACTTAAAATAAACAGATATGAAAACTTGACAGTCATGACTTGTCCTACTGCTGCCAAGTAGAATTAAACAAAGATGAAAGGTCCCCGTGTACATTACAGGCACCGAAAGCAAGCCGTTAGAGAAGATCTTTTATTTTCTGAAATTCTGGACGTGTTAGAGAAACTGAAATTTTGAATTCTGAGGAAGATTTCTGGGGAGAACAGAAAGAAACACAATTGCATTTGCTGTTGTTAACCGTGGGGGGGGGGGTGGCTATAAAGGTTTTCATTTTTCCTCTGTATGTTTTCAAACTGAAGTGACCCAGCAGCCTATCCTCCCCAGAGCTGGTTCCTTTACTGTCCTGCGTTTTCTGAATACAGTCTCATAACCTCTCCCTTTATTTATATCCTCTGCTTTTCAAATTCCTTTCTCTCGCTCTGCTGTAGACAATTTTGGAAGAGGATGTTGAAGATCCTGTATACCAGGTAATTTCTGAAAGCCGTCGGGGTTCTTAGGGTCAGGAATGGCGAGGCCCGTGCTACAGACACTTTGACAAAACCCTGAAAAACCCCCTGACTACAGAAGCCTGGAGAGGGATAGAGATTAGTTCTGAGGGTGAGAGCTGCCAGCCCCTCGGGGAGTGGATTTCCATAAAAATGAACAGAAGTTTGGCTAGCATCCATAACATGGGATCTGGAGATAGGCTTCTCCCCGCTTGCCCCAGCCTCGGCCCCCTCCACAATCTGTAAATATTTGATCCCAGAGCTGGGTGTTTTCTGGAGTCTCTTGAATATTCCAAGTTCATGAGATGGCCTCTTCTCTGAGTTAGGAACCCGGGATGGGGACTGAGTTTTGGTGACATTGGAGTACCAGCCCAAAGGGCAGTCTGTAAGCTATGTCGAAGGCTGTCGGGGCAGGTCTCTCTGGCCCCTCTGATGAAGCGGCTCATGCCATGGGGGCTGTTGGAAGGAAGGTAAGGAAGATCCTAGAGACATCCTAGTCCATAGCTTTCCCTGAACTAGGCAAGGCTGCTGCCCAGGTGTGGCCAGAGAGATGACTTCTCTCGGACCCAAGCTTGTGCTCTGTACAGATGCAGAAAGAAAGGAAGAGGAGGCCTCCCACCACCATCCCCAACCCCACTCATGCTTATTCCCAAGGAGAGAAAGGAGCCCAAAAATGGACTTGTTGGACATAAAACCTGAAACTTGTATTTCTAACTGGATACATGTGGGTCATATGTGTGTGTGTCACACGTGCATTGTTTATCAGTGCTTGTTGTCACACAGAAAGCTGGTACAGCTGGGACAGAGATAATATGGATACAATAAGTAATATAATACGAATAACTTGAAGTAGAAGTATCTAGCATATATGACTTTTAACAAAAGCCAAAAATGCGCCTAGCAGGATGCCCTTGGTGTAGAATGCTGGGGGCGACGATTTGTCTAGAATAGGAGCTCAGCCCCTGAGCTGGCTCACAGAGAATGGAGAATACTGCCCTGTTTGAAGTGGCCCAGTCCTTCAGAGTCTGAAGCTTGCACAGGAGAACACATTGATTTTCAATATTTAAAACTAGGAATATAAAATCAGGTGATATTTATGGGATGAGGAGGTTTGGGGTTTGTAAGCACATCAGAGCCTAAGTTAGGACATCAGGCTTTATGGAAGCCAGGGGGGCAACAGCTGTAACCCAGATCATGATGTTGGGATCCCAGATGTTCCCAGGAGACGTCATTCCCCCTCAGTGGTACCGCACACGCAGACATTATTGAATCGAATGCCATCGAATGAAGAGGCTGCGTCTCCAGAAGAATGCACAGGGGGTCCCATGCATTGACTGCTGTACGACCAGCCATCAGACCCTTGCTGTTTTCCTTAGAAAAGTCAGGGGGAGCATGCAAGGCACGTGCAGTGTTTCAGTGATCCACTTGTCTCTTTAGGGTGTTTTCCGTTGCAACTGTTTCTTTAATGTTCACTGTGATTTGTATCCTGATTCCAAATGCCTTTTTTTTTTTTCCTCCTTCTTCTTCCCCTCTGACCTTTCCTCTCTGGCCGCTCCATAATAGTACATTGTGTTTGAGGCTGGACACGAGCCAATCCGTGATCCCGAAACAGAAGAAAACATTTATCAGGTATAAAATTGCTTCTCTTTCCATTGAGCTCTTGCCACTCAGTGTCCGGAGGGGTCTGCAGAACCAGGGGGGCCCCGCCTCACAGGGTCACACCGCTCTCTCTGTCATCCTGGCTTGGTAAAATACCTTCCTCTGAGCTGGCTTTGACCAATTGACCAGTAGTTTCCTCGCCTTGTTGTGGAAATGTTCAATGGCCCATTGAGTGGGGTGTTTTAATAGTTAATGATCTTAACTATTTTCAATGGACTCAAGAATCAAAGATTCCATTGTAATGACTGTAATCCAATGGAGAGTTGTTGTCCATGATAAAGGAGGGTCCTTCATCTCTCAGAAAAAGGTGCTCATCAGATTTCTTTAAAAAGCCATTTGCCCTACTGCAAATCAAGGACAAATTCAAAAATGCTGTTGGAAGTCAGCATTGGGGATATTAACTGAGTACGAGAAAGTACAGCTCAAGTTTTTACCCCTCCTAAAGGGAAGGTAAATTAATATTCTTAAATGTCTGCTTATGTGAAGAATACTGTACACACTTTGTGATTCATTTAATTCTGACAAACATGCTATAAAGTAAGTATTTAATCCCACTTTTACAAGGGAAAACTGAGCTGAGAAGTTGAGTTGCTGGAGTGGGGGGGGGGGGACGCTGTATAGCTATTTAGGGCTGAGATCAGACCCAGTGTGAGTGAAAGCAAAACTCACACGTCCTCCCCCAGTGCTTTTCTATCAAAGAATTTGAGAAATTGCACCATAGCAACACATCAAACAAATATGACAACATCCAATTTTTCACTAATTAGAATTTTAGCCTTAATTTGAAATATAAACATTATGGAGGAAAGAAAAAAATTTAATGTATTTAATAAGTGATTTTAATTTCCTTAATTTACTCAGTTGTGCAGTCTGCTCTTCTGCCTTGGGCATGCATTACTTGTGTAATGAAAGTAAAACAGATTTTCAGTTTCTGTCAAATGCACAGAATTCTAAATGACCAAAGTGTAACATCAGCTATACCAACAACTTGGTTTAAACCAGTCCATTGGAGTAATAATCTAAGTATTTCTGTCCACCTGATCTTTCTGGATTGGAGGCTGTGCACTGAAGTTTTGTTTAGAAATCATCCTTCACAGGGCACCTGGGTGGGTCAGGCAGTTAAGTACCTGCCTTCGGCTCAGGTCATGATCCCGGGGTTCTAGGGTCCTGGGATCGAGCCCATATTGGGCTCTCTGCTCAGCAGAGGATCTGCTTCTCCCTCTTCTGCTCCCTCTGCCTCTCCCCTCTCTCCACTCCTGCTATCTCTCTTGCTCACCCTCTCAAATAAATAAATAAAATATATTTTTTAAAAACTTTAAAAAATAAAATCATTGCTCACAAAGTTTCCATCTTTACATGGAAAACTTACATATTTATTCTCAGTGTCAGGCTTTTAATTGCCACAACCTTGTGATGTCTGAATGTGAGGCCAAAGGAGCCATTAACCAGTCATCCACTGAAGAAAAAAATACCCTTTAAGACAAAATTAGGCTTTTTAGTGCAAGGTTTCTGAATTCCGACTGAGCTGTGGTCGGCGAGGCTCCTACTGTGCCCTGTGGGGGTGGAAGGTAGTGTTGGAGGTGTGAGAAGAACTGGTGTAGGCTAACAGAGAACCGGGCACCTACCTTTGGCTGAGTGGTAGTGGGCAGGACACTAGCCCTCACTGAGACTCCGTTTCCCCAGTGATAAGGTAGGGGCGTAATTTCTCCATAACTCATTGTCATGAGAATGAAGCAAGATCCTGTGAAGGATATAAAGAAGAGACTTCATCCTGGGTCACACCGTGTGTGGATTCGGAATCTTAGTCCAGGTACCAGCTCAGCGGTTCATCTGGCTTATCCAGTTCCTTTCCTACTCTGACCCTCAGTTTGCTTATCTGTAAAATGAACAACTAAGACTGAAGAGTCTCTCGGACAGGCCCTTTGCTGCTTTTTGCAACTCATGCCTCATCACAGGACAGTGATTCTTTAGGGAAACATGTTCGCTTGCTCCACAGGGTGACAAGGCCCCTTAGAAGTCACCGCACACGTGGCTTGGGTAACATTTATTGAGTGCTGACTGTGGGCCGGCTCTGTGAGCGAGGTTAACCTGCAACATCTTCTCTCTCACAAGACTGTGAGGCTTGAACCATCATTCCCACCTTACAGAACAGTAGGGCTCACACAGATATGGTGTCTTGCCCAACATCACAGAGCTACAGGGAGTGGCATCCTGCCTCACAGCCAGGTCCCTCCGACCTCGGTAAATAAATAAATCCCAAGGCTCTTTTGAACTCAGAATATCCTGACGCCAAGTTGCATGATTAGATTCTGTGCGGGTTTCAAGTCACTATCTCAAAATCACACTTGTTTTAACAGTTCTGACCTCCGGATCTTCCCATCTTGTCCATCATGAGCAGGAAGGTACCATTTAAGGAAATGAATATTTTATCACCCTCTGTTCTCCTCTCTTGCTTTGCCAGTCAGCTGGGCCTCAATTTGCTTAACTCGAGATAAGCTCTTGGGCCTGAAGATAAGGCTAGGCTTTTAAGGAGCTGTGATTAGGAACCTTGCTCTTCTTTGCATTTTAAGGGCCTGCGAATGTTCCATAGCTATTCCTCCTGAGTCGATTGTAGTGTTTCTTAGTCTTCAGTGTGGCCCACGGTGGCCTCAGATTTTTCATCCCTTCCTTATTTTCCAGAATGAGGTAGACAGACCCCAGGTGTCATCTGTTAGCTGTTTTGTGGCCCTGGATAAAGTACATGACTTTTGTGTCTCAGTCTCCTGGGCAATAAAATGAGGGATGCTGCATCATCTGCTTCTAGAAGTGACGTGCAGGTGTAAAGCGCTTGGCCGCTTGGCACATAGTAGGTTCTAAATGTTAGCTCCCTTTGTCTCCTAAGAATGTGATCAAGATGTCTGATGATGATGTATTAAGTGAAGTAGAACATGACTTGCTCGCCTCATCTTGTCAGAGAGCCTAGCGGAAAGTTGCAACCTCGCTTGACTTTGCTATTTATAACTCCGGCGCAACGGAGGGAGAGACTCTTGAGCAACTGTAACCTCTCCTTGAGGATCAGTAGTCTCATTTTCCAAACGGATTAATAATAATTGTCTTTCTTTTTGCGTGCATCAGAAAAAGTTATCAGTCATCTTTGTAAAACAACACGGAACCTTGTGGTACAAGGGCTTTTACACCTCACTTAATTTTGACCCTTGCAGTAACTCAGTAAGATAAGAATAGCTATGATGACTATCAATTTAAAACGTAAGAAAATCATGTCCTCTGATTTAAGTGCTGGACCCAAGGCCAGAGCCTCAGCTTCTCAACCCGGTATTGAGAACAGAAATGTTAACAGGCTTCCCACGCTAGCAAGACTGCAGCTTTCCACGCGGGCATTTTTCACGTTCTTTGGTTCGAAAATCATTTTTAATCGCCCATGATGTGTCAAGTATTGTTATTTTAAAATGAGAAGTCTCTACTCCTAGTCACTCAACCCTTAAACTGCCTCTCTAACACTATTAGTATGATACTGAGCTAAAAAAGTGTCTTCTGCACCTACAGCACTTAATGTATAGCTTTTGCAGTAATTGCACCTCTGTTAACTCCCTCATTCAAAAAGCAGTTCTGGGGCAGCCCGGGTGGCTCAGTGGTTTAGTGCCACCTTCAGCCCAGGGCCTGATTCTGGAGACTCTGCTTCTCTGCCTCTCTGTCTCTCTCTCTGTCTCTCATGAATTTAAAAAAAAAAAAAAAAAGAAAGCAGTTCTGTATGGAGCACCTGGTATGTGCCTGCCACGTGGAGATGTGATAGACCATAGTGCGGTCCCAACCCTCAGGGAGCTTCTAGGCACCCCTCTGAGTACCTCTGACAGCGAGATGAGAAGACTGAGATTCAGAGAACAAAGAGAGCCTCTGAGGTCAGGTAGCCTGTGCTAGAGCCACAATCAGGAACCAGATCTCCCACTTCCTTTTGGTCCAGAACTGTTCTTGCTCACTCTACAATGTCGTGTTAGGGAGATGGGCTACAGGCAGCATGGACCCACCAGGCGGGGATGAGAATCAGGACAAGGCTCTCTCCGCTCTCTGTCTCTCAGGCACTTCTGCCAGTGTTCTGCTCTTAGCACATACACAGTAAAGGTTTGATGCTTAAACACTTCCTATGCAACCAGTATTTACCTGTGGAGAGACAGGTTTGTAAAATATGTGCCTTGTCCTGCGCAAGCTTACACCTGCAGTGTGGTTTGACAGCTCCCATATAAGATAAAGCACATTTTGCACTCATGTAAGTGCAACTCATGTAAGTAGCTTGATTTCTTTCCCAGCTACTCCCTCCACCCCCACCCTCAGCCCCCACCCCACCCCAGTAAGATAAGGAGCTCCTTCAAGGAGAGGCCATATCCAGCTCACTCGCCATCATTGTCCCAGGCAAAGCACAGATCATGATACATAATAGGTTCTTGGCCACTTTTATTTGTTAGTGGAAGGGTATTCCAGAGGTCACAAAAGTACAGAGGAAGTCTCCAACCAGGTAGAGAACCATGCAAGGCTCCCAAGAAGACATCCCAGCTGACATAAATCTTAAAGGACAAACAGGCAGATGGATATCTCACCCATGGGAGAGCCAAGCAGCAAAGCTTTTTCAATTATGCAGTTTGGGTTTATCCATCCTGCCGCTTCTCCTCCATTTGCAGGGATAATTGAGAGTCAGCTGCGGTTCAACTTGCTAAGTGCCAGTAGTGAGCAGTGAATTACGGGGAACAGAAATGCTGTTCATTTTGCTCAGGAAAAGGTGAGCTAGTAAAAATACAAGTGCGAGCTGGTAATTTATCGGCCCTTGTTAACAAGGACTCGGTAGGCATTCTTAGAGGGTTCCTCCTAGATGGAGGCCAGTTATCAGGAGCAAAGAAATTACATTCTTCATTGGATACCTGCAAGCTGAGGTTTGCAGGAGCAGCTCAGAAAGTGCATCTTCCACACGACCATGCCCTCTCATAGTCCTGATGTCTGCAAGAATGTGCACCACCTTTTGAAAGTGGAGAATATGATGTCAAAGAGAAAGATGTGATCAGAACAGCTACGGGGACAGTGGAAACAGGGATGAGATGCAGCTGTCTGTAGAGTATAGTTGTTAAAAGGCAAAGTGCCAGGACTCCAACTCTGGCAGCCTACTCCCCTGCAGGACCCTCTCTGGGTTTCCTTTGCCTCATCCGCAACACAATGATGATTGTCACCCTCACCCAAATGACTTGCATGAGAATACCTGTAAACACAAACATTCAGAACAGTGCTTGGCACACAGAAAGCGCCCTGCCAACGTTAGTTGATGCCATTAGTAATAAATGTCTTGTCTGGTAGCCAGAAAGAGCTGGATTTGAATCTCCTCACTTAATGAGCTTGGAGGCTTTGGAAAAGTCTCCCTAACATCTCTGAGCCTCACTTTCTGCTGCGTAAAGTGAAGATTCTAATACCAAGTTCTTAGGAGCAATATAAGGATTCTGAGTTAAGCTGATAAGGATGGAAATACCAAAAGGGACTCGAGAAATGAGCCCAAATTCTTACTTCTTGTCTATGGAAGAGTTAGCTGGTCCAAGCCTAAAAGACACTTTTTCTTTTTCTTCACTGGTGCCCACATTTCTTATGATACATTTACCCAGAAGACATTTACCAAATGCCTACTGAGTAAGCACTTAGGCACTGTGCCTGCTCTTAAGGAGCTCCCAATCTGATGACAAGAAACACAGATTAGCAGACAGTTGTAAAACCAGTACAGGCTGTGGCGTCCATGGAGGTGTGAGCTGCGCAGGTGCTGGTTGCTGGGAAGCACAACTGATTGCTTTCAAGCCAGAATGCTTCAGTGTAAAGCCCTTGATTGACTCATTAGAAAAGTATTCAACGTATCTACTGTTGTTAGTGTCATAAAATGAGTTCTTATACTTACCTATATAATGTATCAGCGGTGAAAGCAGCTATCATTCTAACACTTTACAGCACTATAGTTCCTAATCATTTTTATTTACCATCTCTTTTCTCATTTGATCCCCACAAAACCCAAATGAGAAGCAGAGCCAGTAACACCCATTTTTATAATCGTGAAGCTCAGAGGAGCTAAGGGACCTGCTCGGGGTAATACCATTACCACGCGACCCAGTAAGATCAGATGGATGAGTAAGAGGAAGGAGGGGGAGAAGAAAATACAGATACATATTTAAAGACAATTGAGGTTTTTCTAGATTCCTGTCTTAGGCTTTTCATGCCATTGTTGCCCCCTTTTCTTGGAAAAAAAAAAAAAAAACTTGGTGAATATCGTCTGACTTGTCCACAATCCCAGCAGAAGCCATTCTTGATACGGAGACCTCGATGTTTGCTATATTTTAACTAAACTGGATCTCAGTCTTTGCACCAAACAGCTTAAGCTCAGATGAAAACTAGTTTTAATCACTCTGGACAAGTTGGAGCACCTCCTTGTCTTTGGTGAAACGAGGATTATCTTTTTCCCTCACGGGACCCCTGAGGCCTCTGCAGCCTCCTGTTCCATGATTCTATGAGAAGCCCAGTGGCAGAGACCCTGCAAACATTTGTGAAGTGATTCACACAGTCCTCCCTCATCTAGCTGTCCCTGGGAAGGAGCCTGGTCTGCTGCCCCTATAATTCCAGCAGCCCCTTTGACTTGGGACCCTCAGGCGCTATCCTCATACACACTGAGCTAGCTTAGAGTTGAAGTATGGTTTCTTTAGTCTTTGAAAGTGGAGTATCAAAGTGTTTTGACTACATCAAATTTGATTCTTCCACAGGTTCCCACCAGCCAAAAGAAGGAAGGTGTTTATGATGTGCCAAAAAGTCAACCTGTAAGTGTAAGTATACCTCCTCTCTTCTGCCAGGTTCCAGTAATCTGCATTCTTATGAGACTGTATCTGCAACTTGAGGAAAGGAACCCCTCTTCTGGATAGGTGTCACAACTCGTAGAGCTTTGCCAGAGTCCACATGCTAAGGTCTCCTCTGTGAGTTGGAGGGAAGGAGGCATAAGGCGAAAATGGTGGAGATGAAGAAAGGGTGCCCGTCTGGACCAAGGTCTGGCCCCATGAGTGGTAGTGAGTTGAATCGCGTAAACCACTATGTCTGAAGGTCTCAAGGTTTCAGATATTCCTTGGTCAGAGTCTGCAGCCAACTTTATTATATACCTGGTCAAATAGAGGGCAATGTCTCCATCCTGAGAAGAGAGTTGCCCATCCAATTTAAAAGTAGTTCACAGGACTCAGAGGGATAGCAGAAGAGCTGGCCAGAGCCTCTGGAGTATATGAGGGTCCAGCCAGTGGCCAGACCACTATGAAAAAGGCCATATGTAGTGGGCTTGTAAAAACCCAGAAGGTCCACTACATCTAGACCCCATCAGCTGGTAGGACTCCTAGAAATGGAAAATCTCAAGCTCTGTGCTACTGCCCCATGCCACTGCTAGACCAGGCCGGTACGTAGGACCTCCAGTCAGTACCCAGAAGGTGCCCTCTGTACATAATTCAAGGGACACTGAGGAACTTCTGCTCAGAGGGACATTGGACTTGGCCACGGCCCATGTCAAAAGAACTAAGGTGTTTGGTCACTATTGATCACAGTAATCTCAATAATGGGTAGAAAGAGCACAGGCTTAGAAGACAGACCCTCAGGAGTTCCAGCTCTGACCCTAACAAGACTGTTGTGAGGCTGAATGACTCTATCCGGGACATTGTTATTGGTCCTAAACCCTACTGTGTGAGAGACATGAAGGCATCCCCGCAGATTTCAAGGTCACATGGATAGGGCAGTTTGAATCCCCATTCCCAGGGAAGCAGAACAGCTGAAGGACCTGGAAATGCTTGGCCTGGAGAAAAGAAACCATAAATATGGAGATGGAAGCCCCAGTGACCACTGGTTGGAAGAGGGAGTACACTGTTCTGTGTTGGCCAGCTCATGGAACTGAGACTGGTGGGTGGCACTGCAAGGAAGCCACGTCCAGCCCAGCGTGAGAGTGACTGTCCTGAACAGTGAGTCGGAGCTGTTAAGGATAGAACATCTGGCACCTAAGGGAGTGAGCTCTCTGTCACTGGAGCTCTGCAAGCAGAGGCTGGGAGACCACAGGTCAGACCACCTGTTTGCATCCTCCCATAGTGAGGTGGGTGGAGGGGAAAGAGGACCTCCTGTGGTCCCTTCCAAGCATGAGCTGCTGTTCTTTCTTTTTTTTTTTTTTTTTTTTTTTGAGCTGCTGTTTTCTTGAGTTGAAAGTCTTTCTGGTTCATCCTAACCCTCTCCTGCCCCAACTCCCCTTTTACCTGATGAAATTTCTTTTCTTCCTATCAGCGTTCCTTGCTCTACACTATCTGCAACCACCATACCCAACCTAAATACTGCTTCTGGAAGCCCACGGGTTTTAGATTTCATAAAAAAAAGCATATCTGGATGCAGGGCCCTCCTCACAAACTCAGTCTACAACGTAATAGAGAACATATAACATGATGCCACTTGGAGAAAAAGCTGTTTTTCTCCCTGAGGCCTTTACATTTGTCAGGCTTCCTTGTCACTGAGACACTGGTCTGTTCTTCCTGTTTCTGTTTGGTTCAGCTCCCATCACACAGCTCCCTACAATTCAATTTGTGCCTAAGTTGCCTCGCTTGCCCCTAACAGGTTTAGATACGTGAGGAAACATGCTCCATTTGCTGCCTGGGTTTTTTGTGAATTTATTAACCAATCTGGCCACACCATCTCCATGCTTAAAACCTTAAAAAAAAAAAAAAATCCAAGCTCCTTAGCCTGACATACACAACACTCAGATGCCAGCCCCAGCCCATATCTCTTGTCTACCTCCCCCTGGTCCAGCTCTAGTGAACTCTGCAGCCTCCTCAAGGAGCCCCATCCTCCCCTAACATCCCAGCTTAGCTTCAGGCTCTAGGGGCTCAGGGAAACTTTCTGGTCTTCTGCTCCACCCAGTGTTAGCAGATCACCCCTACCTCTCTACCCTGCTCTCTATCATTTCTCTATTTTAACAACACTTAGCACACAGTGTCGAAACTCTTGTCTTTGCCCATTATATCCAGGAGCTTCCTGAGGTCCGTGGATGACCAGAAGTAAGCCCAGGGCCTGGAACATGGAAGTTGGGCATGACACAGCCATGCTAGGAATAAACGTACAAATGACCCTGCCCTGTAGAAGGAATTGATAGAAATCCCTGGAAATTTCTTTTAAAGGAAATTCCCTGTTTTTTCTAACTCTGAAATGGGCATTAAATAGGCATGGTAAGGTTTTGCTTGGGAAATAACTGGGCTGCCTGAATGGCCTGTAGTAGCTCCCAGCCCTCTGTTTCCACAGAGTCCTAGAAGCAGCTGGGGTGATGCTGGCTTTTCCATGAACAATTTCCACATTTTTCAAAGCAGAAGAGAGGTAGCAAGTCAAAAGCACCCACTCTAAAGGAGAGGCAGATGCTTGGATTTGGAATCTCAGCTCCTGCTCTTACTACCTATGGGGCTTCTGATAAGTTCTCTTGTTTCTCTTTGCCTCATTATTCTCATCTACCCAAAAGAGCAACTGAACCCAACTTGCTAAATGATTTTGAGGGGAAAATAGCATATGCATTGGAAACTTAATCCCACTTGACTAAACCTCCCAGAGGTACTTTAATATCCTATATCCCTCAGTGTTCTGGGATCTTCTTGTCCTACAGGCTTGCTCCTATAGACCTGCCTCTCTGATGAGTGCATATTCCCTAGGATACCTTTGAGCTCTGAAAATCCCTGGTATGATCTTGCTGTTTGCTCCTTCACCACCTGCTCCTTAGCCAGAAAGATGAGTAAACCAACGACAACCAAGTTAGTGCATAATAAGCAGCTTCCTTCCAGGCAGTTTGGGGGCTTCCACAAGTTTTCCACAAGAAGGGTGACTGCCCAGTGACCTGTTGCTCTGGGTACCCTGGGTTTCTTCTTGCTTGGGTCTAGGTCTGCCCAGAGCCCAATAAGAGACTTAGTTTGGGGCAGTCACTGGGGAAAACCACTAATCAACCCCAGACAAAATGGCCTGATCTTCAGCATCAGACCTGGGTATGCTCTCATCCCTACCACCTACCAAGCGTCCTTGAGCATATTTTTCCATCTCTAAGCCTCAGGGTCATCATCTGTAAATGGAAAGTAATGCCTGCCTTGCAGCTTTGTTTGGAGGACTAAAGGAGACATCTATGTAAAACCCCTAACAGGGGATATGGATTAGATTAATTGGAACATTTCCATTTGATGCCATTACAAGCGATGCAGCAGCAAACAGTTCTCACCGAGCAGGGGATTGCAAGTGTGCTAGATGATTGCACACCTCCTCTGGGAAGCCTTCTTTACCCCAGAGTAATCAGCCCCCCTGGGAGACCTCTGTGTTTCTCTTTGCAGTGATCACAATGCATTGTTACTTTTTCTTAACGAATCCCTTGGACCTTGATTTTCTTACAAAGGCCTTGCCTTTGGGGTTAATGACAGTACCTGCCTTAGAGTGTTTGTGTTAAGGACTAAATGAACTGAAGGATATGAATCACTATGGTGCTTGGTGCAGAGTTGGTATTCAACAGCGTGAGCTGTTACATTCTCTTTGTTTCGCCTTCTTTTCTGTGAGCTCCTTGAGGACAGGAATCCCTTTTAATCATCACTCTCTCTAAAGTAACTCCTCTGGGGATTTCTGATCTCTTTGAACTTTTGATGGTGTAATTTTTCCCCAGAAAACAGTAACAGCAACTTGTATTATTACATGTACTCATGTAAATTTTTGAGGGTCCTGAATCCAATGGGATCTTGATTGCAGCTCCAAAATCTCTGTCCTGGAGCTCAGTCCCTGGCTCATTGTCACCTTCCATGGTCAGAGATATACTCATCGAGGTGTCACATTTGGTGTATTGGATCCTAGAGTTTGGCACAGGAGTTAGAATTCATTACATTTCTTATGGGTCTCACCCACCTTAGTGCATCAGCTTATGGCAGCACAGTTTTGTCTCGATCAGCTGGGCTGCAGGCATGACAGAAAGCCGATCCCATCTCTTCACTCTCCTCCCCACATTCATGCATCCATGCCCTAGTGCCCACCAGGCCCCATTACCTTGGGGTGCTAAGCTGTACTGGCTCCTTTCTTGTTCCTCTTTCACAAATAACATGTTAGGATGCTTTTGTTTGCTTGTTTTAATCCAGATCTCTAATGTTCCCTTCTAGCATATTTGTTCTTAGGGTCATGCTATACACCACTCCACCCTTTCCTAGGACTCTGAGCCAAGATAAGGACTAATCCCACTCACTCCCTAAAATATACACTTCCTCTATTCCTAGTCAAGGCAGCTGGAAGATTTGACACAGCCTTTATTTTTATGCAGGGGTCTTTGAACCCCAGGAGCACAGATGCTGGCTGATAGGGAATGTTAGCGGACTAGGGAGACAGGGAGGAAGGAGGTATCACTTGGGCAGAGCCTTGAAGGATGAGCGGGACTTGAGCAGGCAAAGCACCTTCTGGGCATATCATTGAGGTCCTTTGGGTGCCTGAGTTTCCACCACCTGTACTTAGCAGCACTCAGAACCAATGAATTTATCATCAGTTTCCTTCTCAAAGAAACAGGGGACATGCAGGTAGTCTTCCTTTCTGATGGCTGATAATGCTGCTCATGTTCTTTAGACAAACATCCTGGCCTCTTTGGGGCTGTCAGGAATGCACATCCCTGAGTGGGGAGGAAGGTGACTGCTAAGCAGCCCATTACCACATCCATTATTTAGTGCTTTTTGCACTCTTTTAGCCTTTGAACATGATTCTGATTCTGCAGGGGGACCTCAAGTGAAATGATGCATTCACAGGCTACAGAAGTGCCTCTTTC